GGATACATCACCCTCTGTAGACTCTTCATCTTAGTTATTCCCTCATACCTGACGTGACTCAGGGTCAAAAAGCAAAGTTCTCTGTTGCTTTCTCAAATAGTCCTCCTCTGAATTTATAGGGAAGAATAACTATTCTTCTTTAAGACTGATGTCATCCTGTCCTTATCCATAGTCTGTCCTGGACTTTTCCTCTTCATTCCTTGAGAACAATAATCTTTAATTCGATCTTCTTTGACACTTCAATTCTGCCAGTATCTTCTGTGACTTCAATGTCCATGTGGAGAACCCAGCCACCACATGGACATTGAGAGAACCTGGCTTCGCTTAACCAACTTAGCCATCTCCGGTGATTATGCCGCCTATTCCATCTCAGATGCTCACTCTGCACTCTTGCCATCCATCATCAGAACTGAAAGCAATCTCCTCTCACACCACATTCCCATCATTCCATACTTCTTCTTCACTCTATCTGTCCCTTGATATCCTAGGGGTGTTCATTCCTTCCCCTGAATATCAGTCCCTTACTAGCTTCACTTCTTTCTTCAACTGAGATTTCATGGTCCACAATTTAAGTATGTGTCTTCAAAATACTCTTAACATTTCTGCCTCTCTGTTCATCCCAGACCAATCCATGAATGCCCATCTTCAATTAGCCACTCTCCTCGTACACTCCACCACTGATGACATTAGTGGCATCAGTAATGATAAGCATGCCCATCTCTCCTAACCTCAAAAACATCTTCCAAAAGCCCCACTTTCCAAAAACCATCCCCTCTTCCTTATTTTCAGAGACAAACTTGGTGTAAAAGTTGTCCACATGATTGCCAGTCTAGTTTGGATTTTGCCCTCATGACCCTACCCAAATTGGTCCCTTTAAGACTACCCATTACCTGCATATTCTGAATTCAATGAATAATTTTAATACTTAGATTATTGGTTCCATTAGCAGCATTTGACAAAGCATTTGATTATTCCTTCCTTCATAATTGCTTCTTGGTTCCTGTGATATTTTGTTCTCTCTCTCTTCCTAACTTAGCCCCTCCCTTCTCCAGTCTTTAAGTCCTGGGAGTTCCTGAGGATCTCCTCACCCATTAGACAAACCCACCCACTCCCATGTCTACTTACTACAGATGCTATGCATTGACACAGAAATATAATGCGGAACCAGACTTAATGGAAGACAGGTGTCTGGGCACATATAAAGCACTTGTAGCATTACGACTTCAGTTTCATCACGTTTCCTGTAGGTCAGAAGTCCAAATGAACTCAGCTGGGTTCTCTGCTTAGGGTCTCTCATGACTGAAATCGAAGTTTCTGCTGGTCTGGGCTAGTACCTGGAGGCTTTGGCCAAGAGTCTACTTCTGAGCTCATTCAAGATGTGAGCTGAACACAGGGCTTTGCAGCTCTGGGACTTAAGCCCCCATTAATAGCTATCATGCTGTGTACATTATGCTAACTAAATACTGTCTGCTTAGGATGGGTTGTGTATGTTTGTGAGCGATAGAATAAGGTCTCATTATTGAGAATAAGGTGTCAATATTAAAAATTATATTAAGAATCTAGTAAGTTGAATGAGAAATACAACTGGAATGAGGAAGGAGGAGAGGCTATTCCAGGCAACTGTTAACACACAGTAATACAAGGCCAAAAATACAGATTCCACACTTGGAAAGAGTGCCATATGAACACAGTTGAGTACGTGAGAAAAACTCCAATTTTAAGAGGGATACACCATGGTAGGAAAGGTAACTATAACACTGTAGCTGTTGGCTATGGCTTAAGAGATCACTAAAACAAGTAAATAATAAACCATATGGCTATTTCTACATTTATCAGCCAGGGTTCCATTCAAAAACACTGGTAGCTAACTCTAAGTGAGAGAGTAATTTACTAAAGGAATAGGGAAGACTGAAGAACAGGCTTATGGGTAAGTTTCTCAAGAACAAAGCCTAAAACCATCCTGCAGAACTGGCCTGGTGAGGAAATTCTGCTGCTGCTCCCTGCCCTGGACACTTATATGCCATGGTCTTTTCTCTAGTGCAATGGTCACTGTCTAGCACCAATACTATTCCTGCACTAGCAAAGCTATTTCAGAATTACTGCTGACTCTGAAGATCAGATTCCTCCACCATGAGCCTCATGCAGACATGAGGTGAGTGCAGCACCTGATTCTCTGTCTGGTGTGCACTGAGGTTTCCTGGAAATGATTAAGAGTGACAGAGCCCAGGGAGCATGGCTCCTGACCTAGCTACCAGTGAACTTCAAGGCTTACCCTTGGGGGGTGGGACTATTTGTTGGGACGCTTTCAGACATTAGAAGATGGTTGAAAAGATAGGGAAGAGTAAAAAAACATATCCGAACAAAATGTCAGACGTTTGGCATACAAAACCCATCTAAAATCCACCCATTTCTGTTCTTAACCAACATCTTTTCCAATATATATTAATAGAACTGGAATATCAGAGATGGATGGGACATTTGGTTAAATTCCCTAGTTTTACTAAAGAGGAACCTGATGTCTAAAGTAATTAGATAATTTATCCAAGGTTATAACCACAACTAGTTAGTAAACACAACTCATGTTTTTTCAACCCTGTGTATACTTTCTATCATTCAGTGATCAAACTGTATCTTTATCTTAAGGTTCAACTTAAAGCCTACCCTAAAGTAAACTCGGGATTTATTCCACAAAAAGTCATTAGGTGATAGTGGTCATTTTTCTCTCAATGTATTGATCTGATCAGTTCCCCCCAAAATAGCTATAAAGCTCAATGTTACATTGTAGAACTCTATTTTTCTATTATTACCCATGAAGGTAAACTGTAACTAAGCTTCAAATATGTTTTAATCATAGGATATACATTTTTTCACTGGATTAAAACCGTTCTTTGCCTAACAGCTCATATTCTTGCAACAACAACAAATAATTATTCAAAACTACAAGAATGTTTCATTATGAAAGAACTTCTTACCTATATATTCCATCTTACAGAATTGAAGCTAAAATCACCCATGTAATCCATAATCACATGATTTCTCCATATGGTTAGTACTAAACTGAAGCAAAGGGAACATTAATGCTGTAGCATACACAGAACATACACATTCTAGAAGTATTTTATTGTTATGACAACTGATAGAATTCTGAGTCTTGACCTTACAACTGTGGTGTGCCGAACTGTTTCCGGCACAGAAGCCAAAAACAAGCAATGAGATTTTGAGAAGATGGACAGGAAAGAAGGCAAGAGAGAACAATGAAAAACAGGAATTATGTTTGAAAAGTGTGGCAGTGCAGAGAAAAAAATTCTTTAAGAGCAGAAGATGGATAGTTTTATTCAGATTTAAATGCTATGTCTTAGAAGCTGTTTGTCTAGCACTTTTTTCTTTTTGTGAACACGCCTCAGAAATGTATTGTACTGGTTGTCAGAAATAGAGAATTGATGACTGTAATAAGCTAATACACGTAATGTAGGTGTGTACAGAAATAATTTAAGCCTGACCAGAGATAAAATCATATTATTTTCTATGGCTTCCTTTTCTTTGTGTAACAAATATAATCAATACAGAATCGGGAACAGATAATTTGAAGTAAATAAACACAAAATACATACCTCATGATGATACATTCTCTTGTAATTTAAATCAGGTATTTCTCTAAAAGAATGTATTTTTCTATAGGTTAACTAGTCATCACTCAGACCAAATCATGAAAAAGCTTAAAATTCTATCAAGAATTGCAGACTATTCAATTTTATAAAAAATTATCTTTTTCCCTCTGAAATATTGCCTGGAGTTTCTTTTCTCTCTCCTCTGATAAACTGATACTGTATTTTAAAAAAGGACATTTCCCCAAAATGGTAATCCTACAATTTACAGTTACAACAAGTTATCAATAAAGGCTAAATATTATCCTACAAACCCACAGGGATATACTATATTTATTATCACCTTTTGGTTTTAAAACTGTTGAAATCATCTAGCTAAAATGATATGCTGGAAAATAAATGTAAATGATGGTCCTATAAGATCAAATGCTGTCTGGTATAAATTCAGTGAGGCTCTGATCTTGAACTTACGCTTATATCTACAAAAGCTTAAAAACAACCCTAAAATATTATATTTTTATTTTAAAATACACATCCAATCTAAAATCTCTGTATTTATATTATAAAAATGATTTTAATTCAATATAACAGAGAGGAATAAATATAATTCACAATTTACATTTACAGCATATTACAGATTTCCTCATAATCTAAATAACTATGTGGTATAATGTATCTCCCCACTTTAAAGAAGCAGTTCAGCACTCGTGTGATTTGCAATGTCTTATGGGAATTTAGTTAAGAATGTGAAGAGAGGGAGAGAGAGACTTGTATATGATCAGAGCCTGGAGAAAAAAAGAGAAAAGGGAGAACAGCTCATAGACCAAACTTAAGTATTCTCTCAGATATACTGCAAAATCTTTGTTGAAAAAGGGTACAGAGTATAGCAAGACCAGATTTTCTTTTGAATCTTTAAAAATAATTTCACAGGAGTTCTGGGAAGATAATCAGTCATGACCTGGGCAGCAGCATATATCCTATAAAAGCAAATAATTTCGGCAGTATACTAAATAAGATATGAAGCTAGATCTTGCTGTATCACTAAGTTTTAACCTGGAAAGAAAACAATAAATTCTATAACAAGTTCATTTGATGTCATAACCAATCATCTAATAAATATTTAACAAAGGAGCAAATGTGTAAAACACTGGACTTGACTCTGTGAAGGATAAAATAAAATACATAAAATTAATCACATATAATCTTCAGAAGGTGCAACTTCTAGAGAATGAGAAGAAATTATACCTACCTATCCAGGGCTTAAAAATTTTCTAAGGATATGATTATTACATAAAAAATGGAAACACTGGTTGGCTTGATCAAGGATTTTTAAAAATTATGTATGTTATATACCACGACACAAACCGTATTCAGGCTATTTGATCAGATACTCACAGAATGATTGTAAGAAGGTTCCAATATCACAGGTAATGACATTTTCCCTTGAAGATTCAATTTTGTTAAATAAAAAATCTTTTCCCCCACAATCTTTTCTTTTTTCATGCGATGTACACCATACAGTCTAAACCGAACTGCATAATTTCCAATCATCTCAGATTCAACATGATTAAATTTGAATGTCTCTGTGAAGACAGGGCATGGTCCTCTCTGGATGCTGGTTTTTGCTCTCTGTTTCTTTATAGGTAGAAGAACAAGGTGTACTTGCCATGAGTTGCCACCTGTCCTGTTATATGTCGGGATATCTGTGACAGCTGTCACTGTTACCAGAAGCTTCTGTTCTTGTGAGTCATAGTCAAAAGTCACATCCAGTGTGCCATATTTAGCTTCTGGCTCAGGATCAAAAGGTTTAGGAAGCTGTGAAGATGATCCTTGAGCTGACATATCCTAAGAAAAGCAAATTTAAATGTTTTCAGTGTTTAACTCTATTATTTAATCTAGCATGTATATAAATACCTGATATTTCTTTAGGAAGATGTGACAACTGTCTTGATTTGCTGTCACAATGAAAGTAATAGTAATTAATAGTTAACTACAATCAAAAGTTACTCTACAGGGCCAGAGTAGTAAAAGTGGTAGGTTACGGTGCCCATCGAAAGATGAATGGATAAAGAAGATGTGGTTTATGTATACAATGGAATATTACTCAGCCATTAGAAACGACAAATACCCACCATTTGCTTCAACGTGGATGGAACTGGAGGGTATTATGCTGAGTGAAGTAAGTCAATCGGAGAAGGACAAACAGTGTATGTTCTCACTCATTTGGGGAATATGAATAATAGTGAAGGGGAATATAAGGGAAGGGAGAAGAAATGTGTGGGAGATATCAGAAAGGGACACAGAACATAAAGACTTCTAACTCTGGGAAATGAACTAGGGGTGGTGGAAGGGGAGGAGGGCGGGGGGTGGGGGTGAATGGGTGACGGGCACGGAGGGGGACACTTGACGGGATGAGCACTGGGTGTTATTCTGTATGTTGGTAAATTGAACAGCAATAAAAATTAATTTTTTTAAAAAAAAGTGGTAGGTTAAACTCAAAAACTTATTGTAACAAAGACAAAGAATTTAGCATTCCCCATCACAATTTGAGAAAGTTTGATATACGTCTTTATGATGCGAATTGAAAATATACACTTCAATGTGTATCTCTCTTCTTTTTGTAGGAAACTACTACATCTCACTTCGAACATTATATACAACACAACTGACAGCTCAGTATTTAGGCTGGCAAGAAAGAGGACATAAATATGAGTGCAATGCCATTGAAAACGTTGGCCCCATTTTCAAAGTTTATTCTAAAACGCCCCCATCTGCAACAGAATAATAACACATCTAGGCTTGGAAATCAGTGGAAATATGAAATATGAAAGGATAAATCCAAAGGCCTCAAAAATATTTGCAGCCAAACACTTACTTCCATAACACACACACACTATTTACACTTTAATTTTTAACCTGAATTTGAAAAACTATGTATTTTCTAATGTTAATTACTGTCAAAAATTGCTGACTACACATTTCCAAAGTTCAGGAAAGACTGAAGGTCTATATTTTAATTATAATATTGAAAGAAATCACACCCATTCCACCTGGAGTTGTCTTGCATTCCCGCCAGTCCAGCCCTCTGGAATGTAGTAGGAATTGGCTAATTACCGACAGTGCCAAACCCAGGTCTCTGACACTGCAACTCTACCACTTTGCCCCTTCTAGTATTTTAAGAAATCTTAAATGTCTTTTATTTTGAAATGTGGACCAATTTTATAATTTCCTGTTTTTGAATATGTCCTTAGTGCCTATGGCAGTGGTTACAACTAGTAGGTCCCAGTCTTCCCTTTTTGCCTAAGAACTACTTGAGTTTTAGGTGCAAAAAAACACTGCCTGGCAAGAGCCTATGCTTCAAAACTTGCCTAATGGCTGCTATGCTCATGAGACTTGGCCCCGGTCAATGGGAAGCAAACGGAAGTTATGTGTGAAACATCTAGACCATGTTTACAGAAGAAATCACTTGTCTTTCACCCTCTTTCTCAGTCTTCCCACAAGCAGGCATGCAAGTAGGATGCGTGGCTTTGCCTGGACCACGTGGACTAGGACAGTACTTTAGGGGACAGGAAAGTGATCACAACCAACAATAATGACATCAAAACCCCGGGCCCCTGAATAATGTGGTGAAGCAAAGCCACCTACTCACCCTGGACTATCTTTGATGGTTTTTAGCCGCTGTATTTGTCTCTTGTTAAAGCAGCTTAACATGTACCTAACTATGGCACTACGGGTCAGGCCATGTTTTAGGTGGGGGTGGGGGTTGGGATGTAGTAGAGAACTAGAAATAGTCAAGTCTTTACATCATAAATCTTACATGTTTAACTATGTTGACCTGGTTGGTACCATGTAGGAAAAAAAGAAAGATAACAAATGAAGAACAATATTTCTTATTGAAGAATTCAGGGTTTTTAAAATGTAATATGATGAAATCAGGGTAAACATATTCTTACTCTGTCAAAAAAGTTGACAGCCTAGAGCACAATGTTTCAATATATGCCACTTTGTAATTGGTAATCAAAGATGATTAATTACATGGCTTGATTTTTCAATGAAATACTTTCTAACATAGTATCATAAGAACTATGGTTTTCAAGGAAGTAAAAATTTCCTAAGGTTCCAGAGAGGGTTAAAAGGGGGGTCCTTTACAGATAAAAACTACTATTTGGGTTCTGTGACAGGCAACTAGAAAATAATTCTTCCTTTCAAGGGGTCTGAATTACAGTTTTGAATCAGTGTGAGCTAGCAATAGGTCATTAATAGAGTTTGTGACCTCCGTGCCAGGGAACTTTCTGGAACCCTCACTCCTACCCCAGTTCAGTCATGTATGTGGATGGGCTCTAACACAGCTAATATCCTGGATAAAACAAGAGGAAAGTAAGAATTTTCTATTTGATAAATAACATCTATTAAAGGAACAGTAGGAAGCAAAATAATCTTGAAAAAACACAAGATTGGACTCTATACTAACGGGCTATAAAAGCATCTAGATGCTGATATAATGTGCGTTTGCAGTATTTGAATATATTCCATTCTTCTGTAGAGACACAAAAACAAGCAGGATAGAAGAGACTCATAAGTGTTAGCAGAAAGCAAGCTGGCAGCCTCTGAAATATGGGCAAAGCTCAAAGGCTATATTAACTATAAATAATGAATAAGGCAGTAATTTGAGAGACAGGCAAAATTCAGAAGATAGAATAAATACAGACAGTAACTACATTAATAACTCGAATATATGCCAAAGATAGGTCAGTAAGTCAAAAATATCACAGAAAAAATGAGTTCTACTTAGAGAAAGGGTTGTTAGGCCCACACCATGATCATGTCACCTCTGAGCTAATAGCTCTGTCACCCATGTGTTCCTTATATGGAGATGCAAATTAAAAAGTCTAACTGGCAAGTATCACCACTGACCAGAAGTACTTGTCCCTGCATCTCTCCCCGAAAGCCAGGTTTTTGGCCCATGGCACCCCTGTTCAAATCTCAACTCGTGGGCACCTGGCTGGCTCAGCAGGAGAGCGTGCGACTCTTGATCTGGGTGTCATGAGTACGAGCCCTGCACTGGGTGTACACATTATCTACAAAAATCTCAACTCTTGTCCTAGTTACCACACCGTATAAAGGAAATAATGATGGGGCAGAAAGAGGGACAGGGCATCTGGGCATTACCTAAATCAAGGCTCACACAGTGTGTTCCTGCCACCTGTACCTACTGGCATCCTATCCTAAGTGTGGTAACCTATCTCATCCTGCTCCCCCCTTACTTCTTGCTTCATATCTGAAATAGATTAACACATACGCACACGTACACACACACACACACACACACACACACGTAATCTGAGCATATGAATTCGGTCCACGAGTCCTCTGAAATAGCTTCCCTGGTGGTGTACTGGGGGAGTACCAACACATTGACGTAATTTCCCACGCAATGATTTAGGTCAGGCGGGGCAACAGAATACAGTTGGTTAGAGCACTGTTTTTGCAGTCAGGCACACCTGGGTTTGGATGACAGCTCCACCATCTGAGAGGTGCATATACGTGGGCAAACTGCTTCGCTCTCTGAGTCTTAATGTTTTCCTTTGTAAAATGGAAATAACCTCCTGAAGATGATGTTACTAAAATGAAATGTGCTGACTGGAAGGCTTATAGCAAAGCTGCTGGCATAATCGTTGCCAGCCAGCATTGTTGTTAATTCTGCAATCCAGGCTTCACTGCTAGCTTGCTGGCTATCTATCTGGTGTGTAAACCTCTGCAATTACGGTCTCATATATGTTCAGGCACAGGACAGAGAAATATTCTTTGCAGAAAATCATGAAATATTGATGTATTAAACTGAAAATTCCAGTGTGGAATTTTCTCCTAAGTTAGATAGAATATTAGAATGGTAGAAATAGTAGAAAAGTAGCAACAGATAAAATGTGGGTTTAGAAATCATATAAGAAAAAACCCTAAAAACTAAGGGAATTCTGTTCATAGCTCTACTTCCATTATTTAATTTTGACAACAGATGAGAATTCATCCAGTAAGAACACTGACACACTACATATTATGAAATGTTGTCTGGGAAAAAAGTTGTAAAAACCTGCAATCTAAAAGAAATAGTTCTTAAAAGTACATACCACCTAATGGAAACCTTTAAGTTACCTTTATAGTTATCATCATAAAAGGAAGATTAAAACAAATCCTTTTAAGAACATGGAAAGACTTCAAAAGTTCAACACACCTATTTTTGTTGTCATTTTCACACTTTGGTTTCAAAATAGGAAATAAAACACAACCAACCAACAACTCTAAAAGCATGATGCGTTCATTAGTGAAGCTGAGCATCACTTACCCCTTCCTTAGTCCATGATATGAAAATGCAAAAACATTATTTTTGGAAAAACCCATAAAACATGAGTGAGTGACCCCCCCCCAGAGTAAAAATATCCAAAATAAAAGAATTAAAAAAATAAAAAGCACAAAAATAGGGACCTCAAGATGGAAGAAGCAGGTAAGTAATTCCAGAATGTTTTGTATAAAATGTGAAAATAAAAACAGACCTATTTTGAGGTTGAAACTGGGGTGTGTGGGGGAGATAATGGTTCAGTATCTCATGAATTACTCTCCTTTTCTTCCCTTTGGGGAAAAGAGGGGGGGTGGTGGGTGAAGAATGGTAGGGACAGTCCTGATAAGTCTGCAGGATAAAGATGAGATCAAGGATAATACTGGTACCGTAAGCCACAAGGGACAGGACAGTGGTCAAACCTTCTTACCAAGAGGAGCTGCACAGGATTATCATCCTCCAGTAACATCCATGTAAAAAGCTCTGTGTGCTGTGTTACTTACTTCAGGGCTCAGGACGGCAGTGCTGTCACTTGGAACATCTTCTTCGTATCCTTTATTAGGAAAACTTTCTACTTCATGACCTGTGCTTCCTTCACTTGGGCACTTGTTATATGAGCATCTTGGACTGTTGCTGCAGTGGGAAAACTCACATTTACTGTCCCCAATTTCTGAGGGCGTACATGAGAGATGGGGAGAACCACTGTCATCCTGATATGGTGGTGGCTGCAATTCATCCAGTGGGGGTGTTCTTCTCATTCTCTGAATGCAGTTTCCTGACAATGATTAAGAATCTGGTCACTATTTCCAGTTAGCCTCAACATGCAGTACAGTCCACAATTACTGTATATAACTTAAAAAAAAAACGGATTAAAAAAATTTGTGGCAAGGTAACTATTAGATCCACTCATGAGTTTCTTTCTTTCCTGAGAGGTGCAGAAATAAAATAGTCTGGTTTCCCATTCCTCTCCTGCACAGTAGGATTAGGAAACATAAAAGTCACATACTCGGAGAAATGCTGGGATATACCATAAAAAATGGGAGAGTGGTAAATCTTAGGGAAATAGCTTATTTACTTAGTTCTTTCTTTCACAACAATTTGAAAGCATGCATATATTTTACACACTCCCCTATGATGTGTGGCCTCTCTCGCCACTCGAGGTACAACAAACATAAAAGTGTCATTTGTTTTCTTCAACTACTGAGATGAACTTAAACTTGCAACCAGCTCAGCAGTGTCAGAAACCATTCTTTCACATTCACCCTCGAGCCGGAATCCTACAATGAAGTGCACTGTGAATCCGGGCCTAATCCCCATGGATGAGCAGAAACTGGATACTACATTTTGCCTTGTCTCCACCATCAGGTGGCCACTGCCTGCCCCACCGCACCCTGCATCCCCATTCCTTCTAAAGCACGGCTCCACCTTGTCTACAGCAGGCATCGCTACCACCAGCAATGAATCTGAAACCACGTTTTCTTTCTGTCTTAAATGATCCTTTTAATTTTTACCTCAATGATCTGTCTCAGCAACTCAGAATAAATACGTCTGTGAACAGGAGAGAGGTGGGGGAGGCGGGAGATGTAAAAAAAAATAGAGTTGACTATACAATTTAAGAGTAGCTAAGTCTCTGCAGATAAATCCTGAATGCAATATCAGGTATTAAATTTAAACACTGCTCATTTTTTCTTTTAATGGACTGTGAATCTCCGTTCTTAAAAGAGGCCCTGAAAAAAAAGGTATTTTGTATTATAATTCTTATAATGGAGTTCAGTTCAAATGCTCAATAGGTCTTCTGTTCTTCCTAAGACAGTAAAACTTTACATAAGAAATACAAAGCTCACTTAAAAATTATCACAATGCCTGGTTCAAATGAAAAATATTAATTTGCATGAACTTAGCACAAATTTACATATCTGCTCAGAAGCCCTAATTTTAGAAAAAGAAAACTAAATGTCTTACCTAGTCAGTCTAACATATAACTTTGGTTTATAAAACGTAAGAGATAAAAAAGTTACTGAATTAACATACTGGAAGCTAAATTTGAGAAGGAAGATAGATTGAACTGATATATTGCACTTAGTAACAAAGAAAACACAATATCCCATACTTCAGAGAGGGGCTTCCAGGAGTAGCAAATAAAACACAATATCCCAGATTTCAGAGAGGGGCTTCCAGGAAACCTTTGGTTTTCCTGATAAAAGCAGGCAGAGCTGGCATGCCCTTTTCGTTCTTTCTCCTTCCTCCTGCCTGGAGCTGCTGCGACCATCTTGTAACTACCGAGTAACAAGCATGACAATAAGAGCTAAGGAAGAAGTAGAAAGATACAAAGTATCTGGGTAACTGAAACGTTACTAAGTAGCTATCTTTAAACTTCTGGAAGCCTGAGACAAAACCCTCTATGTTAAAAAACATAACAACAAAACACTGATAGTTGGATTTTCTGTTGTTTCCAAATATATTCTCTATTGATACTTTTAAAATTATTTAACCAATATCTTCCCCTCATAAAAATGTATAACCAGCCATTGAATTATAAATTAAATGATAATACCTAATATTTGCTGTAACATTAAGTCAATTAAAAATTTCCCAATGTAGTGGTTTTAGGAGTCAGCCTACCATCTTTTCCTTTACCTTTATTATTTAAAATTTATATTTTTTTAAAAAAGATTTCATTTATCCATTCATGAGAGGCACAGAGAGGCAGAGACATAGGCAGAGGGAGAAGCAGGTTTCCTGCAGGGAGCCTGATGCGGGACTCGATCCCCAGACCCTGGGATCACAACCTGAGCCAAAGCAGACACTCAACTACTGAGCCACCCAGGTGCCCCAACCTTTTCTTTTTTTTTTTTAAAAAAAAGAAAGGGGATCCCTGGGGGGCTCAGTGGTTTAGCCCCACCTTTGGCCCAGGGTGTGATCCTGGAGTCCCGGGATTGAGTCCCACATCGGGCTTCCTGTGTGGAGACTGCTTCTCCCTCTGCCTGTGTCTCTGCCTCTCTTTCTCTCTGTGTGTCTCTCATGAATAAATAAATAAATAAATAAATAAATAAATAAATAAATAAAGGCGATTTTTCTCAGATCTCAGATTGCTCAGCTTATTATCCCACAGATCGCACTGGGAAGAACTGGGTACATACCTACTCCTCAAACCATCTCTGATGGGTGAATGGGATTACCATAATTCACTTAGATTAATTAGAAGCTATCAAGGTGAAGATGGAGATGCAGTCAGCTTCAATGTCTGTATCTACATGGAAGAGGGTAGATGCCATTCACCAAGGAAAAAAGAGAGAGGATTTAAATGAATAAAATTAGATATGAAGATGGAGACATTACAACTGATACTACAGATGCAAAAGAGCATATAAGATTACCATGAACAACTATATACCAACAAACTGGACAACCTAGAAGAAACAGATATATTTCTAGAAGCATACTAGCTACCAAATCATGAAGAAATAGAAAATCTGAAAGGACCAATATCTAATGAGGAGATTAAACCTGTAATCAATAACCCCAACAAACAGAAGTCCAGAGCCAGATGGTTTCATCAGAAAAATTAATAATAACTCTTCTCAAATTCTTACAAAAAAACAGAAGAGGAGAGAAGACATCTCAGCTCATTTTACCAGGCCAGCGTTACCCTGATACCAAAGCTAGACAAGGACATTACAAGAAAACGACAGGCCAATATCCCTAATGAATATAGATGCAAAAATTCTTAACAACATATCAACAAACCAAATTCAACAATACATGAAAGGCATCATATAGCACAATCAACTGGGATCTATCCCAGGGATCCAGGGGTGGTATAACATCTATAAATCAACGATGTAATATAACACATTAACAAAATAAAGGATAAAAATCATATGATTATCTCAGTAGATACAGAAAAAGCATTTGACAGAATTCAACTTCCAGTCATGACGAAAACTCTCAAGCAACTGGTAGACCAGCTGAGCAACTGGTCTCTCGAGTAGAGAGAGAATGTTAGTCAACATAATAAAGGCCATATATGACAAACCTACAGCTAACAGTATATTCAACAGTAAAAAGCTGAAAGCTTCTCCTCTAAGATAAGAAACAAGACAAGGATGCTGACTTTTACTACTTTTATTTAACATAGAGTTGGAAGTTGTAGCCAGAACAATTAAGCAAAAAATAAATAAATAAAAATTTTAAAAAGGCACCCAAGTTGGAGAAGTAACTATAAATCTTAAATGAAAACATAGAGAATATGCTCCTTCACAGTGATCTTGACAATGTCAGAAGCAAAGGCAACAAAAGCAAAAATAAATGAGTGGGACTATATAAAAATAAAAAGCTTCTGCTATCAAAAGAATTATAGACAAGCTATGGAATGGGAGAAAATATTTACAAGTCATATACCTAATAAAGGGTTAATACTCAAAATATATAAAGACCTCCTCCTACTACCTAAGAGCAAAATAACAATCTGATTTAAAAATGGGCTGAGGAAGTAAATAGACATTTTTCAAACAAGACATCCAAAGGGCCAACGGATACATGAAAAGGTGGTCAGCATCACTAATCATTAGGGAAATGCAAAACAAAAGCATACTGAGATATTTCACACCTGTTAGAATGCTTAATATCAAAAAGACAATGGATAACAAATGCTGGCTAGGATGGGGAGAAAATGGAATCCTTGTGCATTACTGGTGGGAATGTAAACTAGTAAAGCTAGTTAAAAACAGTACAGAGATTTCTCAAAAAACTAAAAATCAAACTAGCATATGATCAAGCAATTCTACTTCTGTATATTTATCTGGGTATTTATCACTATCTCGAAAATGTATCTGCACCCCATGTTCACTGTAGTATTATTTATAATAGCCAAAACATGCAAATGACCTAAGTGTCCACCAATGGATGAAGAGATATATTTGTTTTTTTTTATAAATTTATTTTTTATTGGTGTTCAATTTGCCAACATATAGAATAACACCCAGTGCTCATCCCATCAGGTGCCCCCCTCAGTGCCCATCAGCCAGTCACCCCCACCCCCGCCCACCTCCCTTTCTACCATCCCTTGTTCGTTTCCCAGAGTTAGGAGTCTCTCGTGTTCTGTCTCCCTTTCTGATATTTCACACTCATTTTTCTCCTTTCCCCTTTATTCCCTTTCACTATTTTTTATATTCCCCAAATGAATGAGACCATATAATGTTTGTCCTTCTCCGATTGAACTTATTTCACTCAGCATAATACCCTCCAGTTCCATCCATGTCAAAGCAAATGGTGGGTATTTGTCATTTCTAATGGCCGAGTAATATTCCATTGTATGCATATACCACGTCTTCTTTATCCATGGATGAAGATATATAGAAACACACACACACAATGGACTATTATTCAGCCCCAAAAAGAAGAAAATCCTGCTATTTGCGACAACACAGATGAGCCTTGAGGGTGTCCTCATGACCCTCAGAATGGGGTATTTCACTTATACTAAGTGAAATAAGTCAGATGAAAGAGAAAAATACTATATAATGTCACTTATATGTGAAATCTACACCATCAAAATGATGATGCCCTACTATTACTTTTTCCCTAATTTTACAACCTAATTCCACATCCTAGTTTGTGGAAATGATATATACATTGAAGGGCTCACACATGGAAATATTTTAAACATTTTATATTACCATCTGCATTTTGTAGAGCACCCACAAAAGATGGCAAATTATCTTCCTACCTTATTAAAAAAAAAGCCAGGAAGCATGCATATCTGGAATATGACCT